GCTACATGGAGTGATGAAGAAGGTTCCGATGAAGAGGAACAAGAAGTAGCAAACTTGTGCTTGATGGCATTCGGGAAGATTCTAAGGTAACCTCTAACTCATCCGATTTTGATGATTTATCTTATGAGTTATTTGAGGAGTACAATGGGTTGGCTTCGGATTATGAGAAATTGTTTTTAAAATATAAAAATGATGTTTCAAAATTGAAAAATGAAAACAAACTCATATCCAAAACCAACAACGATCTTGAAAGTAAAATCAAAGACTTGTAAATCAAACTAGAAGAGTTTGAAAAGAAAAATTTAGATTTGCAAAATTTACTTTCAAAGATCAATGATGATCATCAAAAGAAAATTGATGATCTTAAAACTTTTGATAAAGTTGGAACAAACATTTTGAAAAAGGTGGAAATTCAAATCCAACTTTGTTAGAAAAAGTTTTAGAAACTACAATCATAGAGGTCCCCAAAGAACCTCTAATGGAAAAATCATTAGAAGTATGTGGGTTCCTAAAGAACTCATTACTACTAAAGATAAAAATATCCTACTCAAATGGATACCTAAGGGGACTAGGATTTTGGAAACTAATGAATATGGACCCAAAGAATTTGGGTACCAAAATCAAAAATTAATCTATGTTTGTAGGGAAAGGAGCATTGCTACAAGGCACGGGAAACAAATTCAAACTCATGGTACCTTGATAGTGGATGCTCAAGATATATGACCGGAGACAAAAGCCGGTTCATTGAGCTTAATGCTAAAAATAGAGGAGAAGTGACTTTTGGAGACAATTCAAAAGGTCACATTGAAGGTATTGGTACAATAGGTAATACCTCTTCCATACAAATTAAGAATGTTTTATATGTGAATGGATTAAAGCATAATCTATTGAGTATTAGTCAATTATGCGATAAAGGATTCAATGTCTTATTTGAAATTAATGGTTGTAAAGTCATTGACATTGCATCTAATCGGATTATGCTTGTTGGTCATAGAATAGGAAACATTTACATGGTGCATTTAGATTCTATTGATATGACTAATTTATGCCTAGTTGCTAAGGATGAGCATGATAGTTGGTTATGGCATAGGAGACTAGGTCATGCTAGTATGAGTGTTTTGCAACAGTTAATTCAATGAGACTTAGTAAGAGGGTTGCCTAAGCTTAAATTTGATAATGATAAAATCTGTGATGCTTGTGCTAAAGGAAAACAAAAACGAGTTTCTTTTAAATCTATTAATGATGTATCAACTAGTAGAGTATTACAATTGATCCATTTAGATCTTTTTGGGCCAACTAGAACTACTAGCTTGGGAGGAAAACAATATGCATTTGTCTTGGTAGATGATTCTAGATACACTTGGGTTCTATTCTTAAGTACTAAAGATGAAGCATTAGAAAATTTCACATTTTCAAAAATAATCCAAAATGAAAAATGTTACTCTATCACTAGTGTTAGAAGTGATCATGGAACTGAATTTGAAAATCTTGGATTTATTGAGTTTTGTAATTCTAATGGTATTAGCCATAATTTTTCAGCACCTAGAACCCCTCAACAAAATGGAGTTGTTGAGAGGAAAAATCGAACTTTAGAAGAAATGGCTAGAACCATGCTTTGTGAAAATAATTTACCAAAATATTTTTGGGCGGAAGCCACAAATACCGCTTGTTATGTTGTAAATCGAGTAATGATTAGGCCAATTTTAAAGAAAACTCCATATGAAATTCTCAAAAATAAAAAGCCTAACATTAGTTATTTTCATCCTTTTGGATGTAAATGTTTTGTTTTAAACAACGGTAAAGAAAATCTTGGCAAATTTGATGCTAAAAGTGATGAAGGAATTTTTCTGGTTATTCCTTAAATTCTAAAGCTTATCGTGTATTTAATAAAATAACTTTAGTTGTAGAAGAGTCTATACATGTTGTTTTCGATGATAATCCCCTTCCAAGGAAGGATTCTTCTGTTAATGATGATGTAGGTATTGTACAAGCAAATGACGTTAGACATGACGTTGGAGAATCATCATCAAAGGAAGAAACAAAAGATGAGGAAACTCATGATCCCCTCGAGAATCCAACCATTTAAGAAAGGGAAATATCTTTTCCAAGAGAGTACAACTATGTCAAGGATGGTGAAATTATAGGTGATCCATCAAAAGGGGTAACTACTAGATCTTCTCTTAGAAATATCTGTAATTATGTTGCATTTATTTCATGCATAGAGCCTAAGAACATCAAAGAAGCATTAAAAGATGAACATTGGATTATGGCTATGCAAGAATAATTAAATCAATTTGAGAGAAGTAAAGTATGGACATTAGTTGAAAGGCCTAGTAATAAATCTACTGTAGGTACTAGATGGGTTTTTAGAAATAAACTTGATGAAAGTGGTAATATAGTGAGGAACAAGGCTAGACTTGTTGCTCAAGGCTATACTCAAGAAGAAGGCATAGACTATGATGAAACATACGCTCCCGTAGCTAGGATGGAAGCAATTAGAATATTATTGGCATTTGCATGTTTCAATGAATTTAAATTATATCAAATAGATGTTAAAAGTGCATTTTTAAATGGTTTTATAAAAGAAGAAGTGTACGTGGAACAACCTCCAGGTTTTGAAGATTCAAATTTTCCGGATCATGTTTTAAAATTGACAAAAGCTCTTTATGGTTTAAAACAAGCTCCTAGAGCTTGGTATGAAAGATTGTCAAATTTTTTAATTGAAAAAGGTTTTTTAAAAGGAAAGGTTGACACTACATTGTTTTTAAAGAGAAAAGGTACAGATTTATTAGTAGTTCAAATTTATGTTGATGATATAATATTTGGTTCTACTAATGATGTTCTTTGACAAGAATTTTCTAAGCTAATGCAAAGTGAGTTTGAGATGAGCATGATGGGGGAGCTCTCATTTTTCTTGGGACTCCAAATCAAGCAAAGAAAAGATGACATCTTCATTAATCAAGCTAAGTACGTCAAAGATATGCTCAAGAAGTTTGGACTGGAAAATGGGAAACCTCATAACACTCCAATGAGCTCTTCAACAAAGCTTGACTTAGATGAAGGAGGTAAATGTGTAGATGTTAAATTATATAGGTCAATGATTGGCTCTTTGCTTTATCTAACTACAAGTAGACCGGACATTATGTTTAGTGTTTGCTTATGTGCTAGATTTCAATCATGTCCTAAGGAATCACATTTACTAGCTGTTAAGAGAATCTTTAGATACCTTAAGGACACTCCTAGTTTAGGACTTTGGTATCCTAGAGACTCTAGCTTTAGCTTGCATGCCTTTTCTGATGCGGATTATGGAGGATGTAAATTAGATAGGAAAAGCACCTCCGGTACTTGTCAATTCCTTGGAAATATGTTGATTTCTTGGTTTTCAAAGAAACAAAATTGTGTTGCACTAGTTTAGGACTTTGGTATCCTAGAGACTCTAGCTTTAGCTGCATGCCTTTTCTGATGCGGATTATGGAGGATGTAAATTAGATAGGAAAAGCACCTCCGGTACTTGTCAATTCCTTGGAAATATGTTGATTTCTTGGTTTTCAAAGAAACAAAATTGTGTTGCATTATCTACCACTGAAGCGGAATACATTTCAGCCGGTAGTTGTTGTGCACAAGTTTTATGGATGAAACAACAACTTTTTGATTATGGAATTGAAGTATGTACCATTCCTATCAAGTGTGACAATACTAGTGCTATTTGTCTCACTAAAAATCCTATCCAACACTAGAACTAAGCATATTGAATAAGACATCACTTCATTAGGGACCATGTCACTAAGGAAGATGTAGTTCTAGAATTTGTTGATACTTTGCACAATTAGCGGATATTTTTACAAAACCCTTAGAAGAAGATTTGGACACTTAGAAGAGAATTAGGTTTAACTGACCTATCTCACTTAGTGTTTAAAATAATTTAGCACTTTTAAAATACTGAAAATGCTTATAATAATAAATTGTATTCTTGCTATTAGTTAGGGGAGTTTATGATTCTTAATAAAAATTAATTTTATGTTCAAATAAAGTTTGAAGATTAATTTGATTGATTGAACATAATTAATTTTTGATATATGAGTTGCCATTACCATTAGAGCCAAATTATTTAGCATTTTAAGTGTTTAAAACGGATTTTTGACATTTTTGTGCTTCATGCACCGATGCATTTAACAATGCATCGATGCATCCTTGAATATGCATCGATGCATAAGACCATGCACCGATGCATCCGTCGGGTTTTAGGTTTAAAATCTTCATCTTCTTCATTTTCTCAAAACCTAAAACATAAACTCACGGCCGTTCGTCCCACTCTCACCTCAAATCTCTATTTTGCTCAAATCTTCGGGAAAACATCGGATTCTTCAAGTTTTTCATCCTACAAACCTGCTACACTCATTAATCGTGCAAAACATCTCCTCATTCCCTCAATCCGAATTTTTCAAGTTATTTTCACAAAAACTCTATTTCATTAAATTTTTGAACTTAGGACTAGTTTAGATTAGTTCTAGTTTGAAATAATTATCGGCATTGGCTATATGATGATTCTAAACTAGTTTCTACAACGAATTTCATCAAAAACGCATAATTTTTCAAAATTATTTGGAAATTTTGAATTTAAAAAAAAATTCGAAAATTATTGATTCAATTGTGTTGTTTTCATGAAAACTATGCGCATATGATATTAATTTTAAATAGTTTTCAAAACTTTGCCCATTAGGATTATGTTAGAGAACCTTGAATTATTGAGGACTCATTTGAGTTTTGGGATTGAATTTTGTGCATACATGTGTTTTTAAATTGCAGGTGATATTTCTTTTCCGATTTCCCTAACCATGTCTAATCCCAAACGTCCTAGATCATCCTCGAGTCGGTCTCACCAAAACCGTCCTCCCTCTCCTAGACCTCAAAATCCATCCAATATTCTTTCATCCCTCATTAGTACTTGTTTTAACATGCCTGAAAACCGTAGGGATGAATTATACTCTAGGTACATGAACTCCTTCCAATCCTATCATATTAGGGAAGAGCGTATTCCTTCTCTACAAGCTATGATAAAACTTGAATTTGAATACCTCTCAATTCTTCGCCGATGGAAGTTTGATAAACTATTTTCTCTTCAACCCATCATCTTTCACCACCTTTTCCGCATCTTTTATTCCAATGCGGTTTGTATTCAGAACACAACTCAGTGCGGTACTATAGCGATTAGATCCTATCTTTTAGGACAATATATCAATATTACTTCTGAATCCATCGCATCTCATTTTGGTTTAGATGACGAGGGTTTATTTAATGAGAAGGAAGATGTGGAATATCCATATCTTCCTAATGCTAGTGTCAGTACCTTTAGGTCTCACCACGATCGATTTCTTCACTTAATGATCTCTTGGTGGTTTAGACCATCCGCAGGTCGATACTCCACACTACGTACTACAGACTTATGGTGGATGCACTGTATAAAGAACAAAAAGAAAATCAATTTTCCACATATTGTCTTTAGCGCGCTTGTCGATATCATAAACATCATTCCCTCAAAGCATGTAGAAACCCTACCTTATGGTTGTCTACTAAGCAATTTGTTTATCAAACTCGGCCTAGATGTCTCCCTTGACAATCCTATTCCGCTCCAAAACCCAATCAATATCACATCCTTAAAGAAATCGGATTGGAAATTGGATGAGAACACCGGACTAAGGTCTTTTCGACCCGGTAAGCAAACCCCGGGAGCTAGTTCTTCACGAGCTGCTCCTAGTTCTTCTCGTGCTCCTCCTCCTCCTCCAGCTCCTGACGCTGATAATGATCCAGAGCTTCAAAGGCTTATGAGAGATATTGACGAGGAAGTACCAGCTCGGCAAGATGATCAAACGCCACCTTATTTTCAATCTTTTCTAGAGTCGTTTGATCTGCGTTTTGCTTCCATGGAGTCTACGATTACCGAGTTTCAGAGGGAGATGCGTGATCGTATGGATGCTCTTACTCTTGAAGTTAGAGCTCATTATCCTCCTCCTCCACCCGATTCCGCTATGGATGATTAAACGTTATTTGATGATATTTGGTTTTAAACTTTAAGATCTTGGATTGTTAAACTTTTGATTTGAATGTTTATGTTTGTTTGGATGTTTGGATGCTTGAATGTTTGAACTTAATTTTAATATATTTGGTTTGAATTTTATTCATTTTGCATCATTAGATATATGACCAATTATGCCATTTCACATTTTATTATGAATATTGTTTATGAAAACTAATGGCTAATCTCTCTTTTGATTGTGATCTTAGCAGCTTACTATTAATAAATCAATTGGCTAATGTTTTTCAAAATTCTTGTTTAAAACGTTTATATAGAGTCTTTTTGATTTAACAAAAAGGGGGAGAAAATTTAAGATGTGCTATAGTAAGGGGGAGTAAGTTTTTCAAAATCGATTTCAAAATAATTTCTTAACAAATCTTAAAATTATTCAAATGTTTTGTTATATCAAAAAGGGGGAGATTGTTGAAAACATTTTTGATATTTCGATATAACAAATTAAGTTAAATGAATTTTAAGATTTCACAAATGATTTTACAAATTCGATTCAATTAACCGAATATCAAATTATTACTCCAAGTTTTTCAAGATCAATTCTAATCCTTACTAAATGTGTAAAATTGTGATTTGTACTTAAACTATTTTTGAAACAATTTTCACAAAGTATTTTGAACCAAAAAACAGCCTTAAATCAATTATTCAAAGGCATGCACCGATGCATCAGTCCATGCATCGATGCATCGATGAATTAATTGAACATCGAATGCATTCCATGCACCGATGCACTCTCCATGCATCGATGCACTCTGAATTTTTTCAAAACATCGAATGCATTTGATGCATCGATGCACAAGCCATGCATCGATGCATCAGGCTATTTCTCAAACATCGAATGCATTTCATGCATCGATGCACACTTGGTGCACCGATGCATCAAGTGTTCCAACGGTCAAAATATTTGAATTTTACACGAATGCACCGATGCATACTTGATCATGCATCGATGCATGAGACGCTCCACCTAGAAAAATTAATTGTTTTCACACTTAAACGGCTCTATTATCCCCACTAATTATCACCAACGTTCAGAATTGATTCAAGGGGTATTTAAACAAGTTCTGGAGCCATTGATCAACAATAAGAAACATCAATCAACTAGAATCAAGAGAGAATCAAAGAGAAAGCATCAAACCTCAAGTTTGAGTATTTCAAGCCTATTTTTCATCCAATATTCATTTGCTTTCAAGAACACTTTTGTACTCAATTGTATTTATCCTTGAGTGTTCTTTTCTTTGTTCTAGAATTGTGCAAACATCTTACCTTGTGAGGTTTTCTTGTAAGTTTGCAAATTTGTAATCTTCTCTTTGGGAAAAAGAGTGTTCTCAAGAGTTGGGGTATACTCTTGAGGGATTTTGTAAGGTTATCTCTTTGGCCTCAAAAGAAAGAACAAATTAGTGAATTTGTTGGAAAATCCTTAGTGTGGATAGCTAAGGTAGTGGACGTAGACTTTGTTTGAGAAAGTCGAACCACTGTAAATCGTTGTGCAATTACTTTAAATTTTCTGCAAAAGCTTCCACGAAATTTTTAATTGCCAATTCACCCCCCTCTTGGCCGATTCCGTAGATCGATTAACTCAACATGAGGCCATATGGTTCTATTCAGAGGTACAAGGCACGGTTAGTTGTCAAAGAGTTCACTAAAAAATTTAGTATAAACTTTTTTTTGATATCTACTATCTCGTAACGAAAATCTCAATGATTTGGGCGTTAGTTTCTTTAGCCTTCATTTACAAGTTGCGAGTACATCAAATGTATTTAAAGATTGTATTTCTAAATGGAGACTTAGATGAGGAGATATATATGGAACAACCTATTGGTTTCGAGGTGCTTAGCATGGAAGACAAAGTATGCAGACTTAAAAGTCGCTTTATGGCCTTAACCAAGCTCCTAAACAGTGGTATGAGAAATTTCACATAACTATTCTTAGTTTAGGTTTTATAGTGAATGGTTCAGATGCATGCGTATATTCGAGGATGTTGGTGTTGATTGCATCATCATAAGTATATATGTTAATGACATGTTGATTTTCAGTGACAACATTAAGTTCATTAACAAAACAAAAGATTTTTTATCCATTAAGTTTGAGATGATGGATTTGGAAGAAGTCGATGTAATCTTAGGAGTCAAAGTTACCAAAACAGAAAAGGATTTCTTTGAGTCAAACACACTATATTGGAAAAATGTTGAAGAAATTTGAGACAATTTTCACGTTGTCCCTGTTCGAACTCCTTATGACCCTAGCATACATCTCTTTAAGAATAAAGGAAGTAGTGTTTCCCAAACTGAATATGCTAAAGTGATTGGGAGCCTAATGTTCTTAATGAACTATACTCAACTTGATATTGCCTATGTTGTGAGCAGACTTAGTAGATATACCCCATAATCCTAGTAGTGAGCACTGGCTTTCTCTCAGACCCTTACTCGAGTATTTTAAGGGTACAATGGATTGGAAACTTGAGTTTATTGGCTATCATGCGGTACTAGAATGATATTGTGACGTCAACTAGGATTTTGACAATGATGAGGTAAGCTCTACGAGTGGGTAAGTTTTCTACTTTGGGTGGAGCAACAATCTCGTGGAAATCTGTAAGTGCTCGTTCCACTATGGAGTTAGAGTTTATAACTCTTGACTTAGCTGGGCAAGAAGCCGAGTGGCTAAGAAATTTATTAGCTGAAATTCTGTTGTGAGAAAGGCTAAATCCTCTTGTTTCCTTATTGTGTGATTCGTAAGTTGTGATATGTGTGGCGAAAAACCAAGCTTACAATGGTAAGAAAAGACACATTCGCATAAGGCATGAATATTTTAGACACTTGATAAGGAATGAAGTACTCTCCTTAGAGTATGTGAAGTAAAAAAGAAAGCTAGTAGATAGGTTAAGCCGAAAGCTAGTCCTAGATTCGTCGAGTGGGATATGTTTAAAGCCCATTGGTTGAGGAATTTGTGGTGGATACCTAACTTAGTTATCTAAGTTAAATGTCGTCAAATGAAACCATGGAAAGATTCATAGAGTACATTTATCAATCTATCCCTATGACGAATAATGTACATGCTAAGGTTGAGCTTAATTGCTATTAATAAATTCATAGCCCAAGCTTTGGGTGGTCTTAGTGAGAAAGACTTGATGAATTTACCGATTTTGGCGGAATATATATTCTTAATAAATTCATAACTCAAAGTTGAGTGGGTAGTCCTAATTGAGAAAGAAGATGAACTTACCGCCAGAAAAGATTGAGTTTTATGAAAATCTCTTAATGAATTCAAATCCAAAGTTTGGATGGTCCTAGTGAGAAGGGTAAATTGAGTTCACCAAGTAAAGAGTTTGAATATTTATTCTTAATGACTTCTTATCCCAGAGTTTGGGTGGTTCATTTATAATGAACTTGAAGAAAGTCACCATACCCTCTGTGAGGTTGAGTTGTTGTATAAGCTCTTAATTATTTCATAGTCCTGTTAAGAGTGGTTTATGTCGAGATAAACTTGATGAAATAACCTATGTAAGTGAGAAGGGTTAGCCATCTTCTATGAAAAATAATAGTTCGTTTTTCTAGCACACTTACTAGAATCATGAGGTAAGATTCCCAAATATATACTTTTGTGTATATATATATATATATCTTACACATCGAGGACTTAGGTGGATGAAGGGGTTAGTTGTGTATTATGAGTTTACCCCTATCTTAGAAAGTTCAAGACTAGTTTCAAGTGTCTAAGAGAAGGATTGTTCATTATCACTATGTACTAGTTCAAGATACATTCACTAGTGCTTAAGCAACTAATCTCAATATTGTTCTTTTGGAAAGGTTGTTTTTGAGTTTCAAAAGAATTCTTTTTGCATTAGTGGGGGAATGTTAGTAATGCTCAATCCCAAATAGAGTGAGAAATATATTGGGATTGAGTATTTAAGGTTTTCATTCTCTAATCCCTTGTTAAGTGATAGAGAACAAGGGGATCCTCGAGCACAGTCGCCGTCGCCTGTCCGTCTCAGCTCGTGCTCGTGCGCGTGCTTGTGGTCGAGGTCGAGGCTCGTGTCAGTACATGTCTTTGACACGTACACACGGTTGCTATCTTTTTAGAGAAAACTCGTAAGGAATTTTTCTCTAAAAGAACAAATGAAAAAATGTGAAAGAATTTGTTTGGTATTTATACGCTACTAAGTTTGTATGAATTTTACGTTAGAATGAACTTGGCCAATTTTACGACTCTGTTCAAGATAAAAAATTGAGCCATTAATTATGCTAGTTACGAGAGTTACAGAAGTAATTGGCCAATTTTACAATGTATCTTGACGCTTTGAGATTCAGATTCATCTGTTTAATATAGCAGTTTCATTTGTTTAAAGATAGCAGTTACACATAGTTAATTTCATGAAATAAAACCAGATTTAATTCTGATTTGTGTTGGACAAAAATGCCCCTATATCTAACCTATAAATAGAGAGCTCATTTGGCTTCTCAATTCATCCCACAATTCACTCAAATATCTCTGAACTCTCTCAAAGGTTTCTAAGCTTATCAGTCTTTCCGACGACCAGATGAGCAGTACCACCAATAATCCACTTCAATTCCGGGTGTATATAATTTTGAGCGACCGTGTTAACTTCGGGGGACGCTCCGCCTATTGGAACGATTACACACATCGGGGTGAATTCGTTTATAAGACAATGCTTTTTACCACGACACATTTTCGGTTGATCAAATATTTATTTTTATTTATTTTTTCAGTCAGTGCTAATGGCGTGATTTTGCAGTCAACTTTACCGGTACTTTGCACAATATCTTTTTCTTTCCTTATTCTATTGAATTATGTTTTTCATCTCTATTCATCATCATAGATGTAGCTAGAAGGGTGCAAGCAGGGACCCTGACCAATACCCTCAAATTGGATAAATTGTAGTTTCGATCTTAAATTTTCAAAGTTTTAACCTGATACAATTATGAAATTTCATATAGCCCTTGAAAAGAAATAGTTTAATACCTTCAGAAACTATATTTAGAATCTAATACAATGGTAAAAATGTATATTGACTCTCCAAAAATTTGTATTTCGTTTCAATTTTTCCAAAAATATATATATATATCCTACCTTCGTCCTTACTATTCGTTACCAAGCATCTAATAAAGTAAATGATTAAAAACTAATATCTTTTTTTACAAGTGTGGGATAAATAAAAGGTAGTGTCTGTTCGAAGATTATTAATTATTTGACAATAAATACTCATATTCGTAGTTTTCAAACTCGAACTCTTAAAAAATAATAACAAATCCCTTAAAATTAAATAGAAATCTAAAAGATTATGCACAAATGCTTTACTATTATTTTATAAATTCTGTTGAATTTTTCATATAAAATAATTTTTATACATCATGATATAGATTTTTATTTGATTTTTTTAATTATGTAGTTAAAATTAATTCTTAAGATCCAACTTAATATTTAAACTTTTGACATAATTAAACATTTAAATTTGATTTATTAGTTTAAATTGATATTCAATTTTTATTTTGATCTAATTTAATACTTATGATAAATAATTTATCAAAATAAATTTAAACTATGAAACTAAATTTAAATTCTACTTAAATCTACATATATATTATTAGATAAAAATTTTAAATACAAAATTAAATTTGATTATTTAGTTAAATTTAAAATTAAATTAAATAAAAAATCTTAAAATCAAATTCGAATATAAATACATATTTATCCTTTGTAATTTTTGCATGCAAACATTGAGATTGTTATGAGAGTAAATTTGGAATTTCAGAAAGAAGCATAGGTTTTGGGAAATGGTGCGGGCAGCTCTCAATCTTTGTTAATGGAGTGACCCAGCAACGGCTTAATGACTGTGCTCACTGCGGTTGTCAGCACTACAACACCTTGCCTCATGCTACGTGTCCCTCACTCAGTGGTTGTGGGTCCCCTCTCTTTCACCCAATCCTCTAAGTCATCGACATTCCTCCTAGTGTTGCCATGTGGTTACCCTCATTAGTTTGCACTAATCTTTTAATCCTCATTAATCAAACTGATTCCAAACATCAAATTACAATCTCACCCTTATCCTCTTTTCCTCAACTAACACGTAGCATAAGTGGAGGGAGCGAGGACGGAAATGGAAATGCACAAGATGAAAAACGAGTGAATATTTGCTATATATGTGGTGCTTAGAGATTTGATTTAGTTAACCCTTTTACCTTATCTTCAACAATGAGGTATGCATGATTGATTGAAGCAAAACCCCAAACGTTTTTGTTCAACAAGTTGCAGCCGCTCTTAAACCCAAACACTTTACCTTCTTCACTTCACTCTTTCTGTTTTCTATTTTCTCTTTTCTTTTGAGTTACAAAAGATGGCCTCGGATGAGAGTATGACGGTTGTTTCTTCTATACTTGAAGATGAGTTTGATGATATTGATGTTGTGTTTGATCATGATCATCATGCTCATCCACATAACTTGTCCAGGCTTTCCATGTGCACTAGTTCCATGTCGAGATTGTCAATCGAGAGCTTCGATGCTGATGTCGACGAAGAGTTCTTGGACAAAGAAGACTCGGTTCAGCTGTCTTCTGATTCCGATAAAGAACCTGGTTGTTATTCTCTACCGGCGACGCCGCCTCGTCGGAGGAGGAATCGGACCAGGGAGGCGTTGGCTGATCAGTTGATGGGAGTGGTCAAGGATTACGCCAGTGAAAATGAAGCTCTGAAGGGGGGTTTCGGGAGGCCGAAAGGGAGCAAGAATTTGAGGAAGAGGAGGTTTATCAGGGAAAGAAGCGCGGATATGGAGGGTAAGAATGATAACCAAAAGAAAGACGGGGATTTCATGGTGGGCTATAGCAATTACAGTGGGAGTTTCAGCGGGGAGAGTGACGGCGGTAACGGCGCCGGCGTGGTGGTTATCATAAGGCCAAAAGGCGGCAAGAGGTCACTGTGTATGGATTTGGAGGAAGTGAAAGCGTGTAGGGACCTGGGTTTCGAATTAGAACACGAGCATATGTTGGAGATGCCCAGTGCCACTGCAGGCCGTGTTTCATTCTCGGGTTCCACATTCGACACCGCCAGTAGCGGCGGAGATTCTCCCATTTCCAACTGGCGTATCTCTAGCCCTGGTTAGTTCAAAATATAGTTTTTCATCTGCTTTTCGTGATTTTTTTTTAATTAACATAAAGCATCAACATTTTCAGTACGTCTGATGGGAATTTTTCCTCTGTAATTTTAGGTGATGATCCAAGGGATGTTAAGGCTCGGCTGAAGGTGTGGGCACAAGCAGTGGCGCTTGCATCCTCATCCAGGCCTTGCAGTTGACATTCAAGCTACGCTCGACTATCATCCGCTACTACTTTTGTTTCCCTGTTTTAGCTTTTTTCTTTAAAAAAAATGAAGGTTTTCCGAGGTTTATTTACTTTTCCCACTTCTCTTGGAGAAATTCAGGCACTCTTTCAATCATGTATAGCTTTTGCGCTTGTAAATATGAATATGATTGGCTTAAACTAGACTTTCTGTTCTCTTTGCTGAGCTGGTTCTCTATTGTTCGTATTCAGTCTGATTTGTGTTTAAAAGTGGAGAATTTCGGATGAATTTTATTTGTTCCAAAAAAGTTGCATTCAGAGTTTTGTTCTGCAGATTGAGTTCCACTCTGTTTTAACCTAACAAGTCAACAATGTCCCCACTCAAAATGATGATTTGCACAACTTTTTTTATATACCCAAAGCAATAAAGCAAAGCCTATGGGGTCAAATAATCAGGCTCTTTTAGAATTAAGAAAGCAAATGCAGAATTTTTAACTCTTTCATCAGCTTGTTTAAAATCAATGCTTTCTGCATCTTCTCCTGCATACGTTAAGAACTTCTTCAGATCATAAACAGATGAAAAGAACAACAGACTTCCAATATGGATGAGGCAATCCCACACCATAATTAGTTATTAAAATATCTCAGATGCTACCGATCCGAAATAAAGCTAGAAAGGACGTAGGAAAACTGTGGAATATATTTTAACCCGAAATTTCCATGATACAGAAAAAGTAGAGAAATACAGGAATCAGTCCCATACCGAGACTGTCACCGACAAACATCCCTCGCTGGTGCTTAATTTCTTCACTTTCTTGCAAATCATTCCAGAGCACTAGGTATGGTAACCACAAAATAGTAGAAAAGAAAGGCAGTGCCTACCAAAGAGGCGCTTTAAATGAATGATTTGAAATGCAGACAAAAGGATCCACCATATCTAGCTAGGATGTGGACTTTAAAGTTGTAATTGTTAGTCACTGGCCAAAATGAGACCCCCCTGATGCATGTGGAACACAATTAGGTGATCAAGAAGGCAGTAAGCTGATTTAGGAGAGTAAATGTCAACCTTGTCGACTCTGAGATCGTTATGGTTGATGTAACATCGTCACTGCAGAGGAAGATATTAATTTTCAGTCTCATAATTGAAGTCGAGTGGAAATTCAGAAAGGGTGCATTAAGTATACCTAAGGCCAATAAACTAGAAAGAGAACATATTTTACAATGTACTCGACCGCAAATGTGCAGTAGAGTTTGAACTAGTGGGGCACTAGGGAAACAACTGCATTCTTTTACCGTTAGAACAACGCCTCACTGGTAATTGCATCCGGGATAATAAATTAGTGTAAAACAAAACTTACCAGAAGCTGGTGGTTGGCAGGCATTATGCACAGTGAGGGTTCCATGTGTTTGTGTTATGGAATAAGAGAAATAGAATAGGATTCGAGAGAAGAAGTAGAGAATTTAGAGAAGAAAATAGTCATTCATTCATTGCATAAGGAAATTCTTGATTACACAGCAGGTATTATTTAGTTACAAGCTGGTACAGGGAATCTAACAATGCCAGTTGGCATTCTTTACTAACAACTTATAACAGACTCATTCTTATCTTCTTTCTCCTTGCAGGATATTGGGCCACATGACATGTGCTGCTTCAACTCGTCATGGGCTGGAGACTTGGGCAAATCAGACTCTGACTGGACCGGGAACACGGGTGACTCCAATTCAGAGGGTAAGTACCTCATGCCCCTTTCTCGTGTTTCAATCCCTAAATCCCCCTTTTCAATTCCCTCAATCCCTAACCCTTGACTTATATTTTCCCCAATTCCTTCTTCTCGTCCACGCTCATCTCTTTCGACTGTGACAATACCCGCTGCTGGAATCGATCCTTGTCCCCAATGATTAAACCCTGGAAACTGGCCTCGAAGAACAATATATTCTTCCCATGTATCACTGGTCTCATCGAGGTATGTCCAGTGTACCAACAAATGCGTTACAAGTTTGTTTTGTCGATTTATTATTCTTCTGCTCATATCCTTATACGGCTCGATTCGAATCTGACCATCATCGTCCATGGCAGGAGGGTCTATTGAAGAAACTATTGAGTCACCAATGTGCTTCTTCAGGATGCTCACATGAAAAACTGGATGCAATCAGAAAGAATCTGGTAAGTCCACTCGATACGCGACCTCGCCAATTTTCTCAATAATTTTGTAAGGTCCGTAGTATTTTGCTGTTAACTTTAATTTTTTTTGTAGGACAATGGATGTCTACCTGTAGGGCTGCAATCTTAGGTATTCTTCTTCTCTCATTTGAAACTGTCGTTTACTTCGATTTTTATCAGCATGTTGTTTAATTCTGTTCTGCAACATATCTGGGACCGTATGCACTGTGAATTTTGAACACCATAGCAGAGTAGGTGATTTATTCACTTCATACCACACCTCATCATTGTTTTGAGAAACTTTGCTCTTCCCTATATCTTTTGGCCTCTCATTTCTCCATTTCAAGCTAACAGGTTGCCTAACTCGAAGACCATCAGATTGGAGAGGTAGAAACCCAATAGCTAGGCAGGGTTCTTGGATTGGCAGGTGTAAGCTTATAGCACTCCAAAATAGTAAATTTTGGCTAGTATAGAAACTGGAACAATAATCTTCTAAAGCTTTGTAGTTCACCAAATTTCCATTGTGACCAACCTCAATAAACTCAAACTTATACCCCACATCTTTCTTATATTTGCCTAAACTCAATTTTGGGTTTCAACTGTTGGAATCACTTCAACAACATTTAGTACATCACCTTCTATTTCCTTTCCGATAAGAGCAAGCATCTCTTCCATTTGAAATTTAAGGAAAAAATTTCCAATTGATTTAGACATTCTAATTTCTCCAGCAACCGAATCTGATCGAACTGATGTGTACCCAAATAACAAACGACTGTTATAATCTGTATCAGTAACCTCATAAGTTTTAGCATTAACCACATTGATAAGAATGATTGTTCTGTCAATAATTTCTCTATACCAACTAAGGAGAGTTGATCCTTCATAGCCATTAGAATATTCTTCCTCCCTAGAGTATATCCTTAAATCCAGAATAGATTGACGTAATACACCCGCATATTCCCTTAGATAAGTAAACATATTCCAAATAGGTTGAGTTTCATTTGTAAGATCCCAATCCCAGTACCTCTCCACAACCTTCTTTGTTTTCTTCTTTTTCTCATGTTTTCATCTTAACCAGGCTCTTTGGTTTCAACTGGGTCCTTATCAACTTTGACCTCTTTAGTGATTCCCTTTTTCTGCCATGTATAAATTTGGAAAGAAACAAATTGTGAATAATTCTTCACAAGTTTTTGAATCCATTCTGGATTTGTCTCCTCCCAAATAGAATAGGAGCTTTCATTTGCTTCTCCTTTCCATACGTATGATTTCAGACTCTTTGTTGAAATAACTACCTTATCAGAAACCAAATATGCTGAATAGAAATCAACCCCAAACTGACCGATCAAATTATTATCTGTACCAACATCTTTCATTTCCTTCATAGCCTTCAAAAACTTAGCAGTTCCACTCTGTGTAATTTCCAAGACAATTAACAAGTTCGTGTTTTGTAATACCAATGCCTAAGTCAATAATTGTTATTATCCCATTGTCTTTATCAGTTTGGATACGAATGTCAAGATCAACAGCTTCTTTTAAAAGCTGAAAATCAGTATCACTTAGATGCCCTAACTTGTCCCCATAAAACTCAATGAATTTGCCAACAACACCATGCTTCCTCAGCATTTGTGTCACGGTTAGAACTAAGTCAGTAGTTGTCACGCCAATTCTTAATTTTCCAGATAACTTGAATCCAACAACACCAAGAAAAACCATGCTCATAGGCTGACCAAGCATGGCTGCCTCAGCTTCAATACCACCAACTCCCAAACCAGCTACTCCAAGACCGTCTATCATAGCTGTATGGAAATCAGTTCCAACCACACTATCGGGGTACAACATTCCGTTGGTGTTGAAAACAACTCGCCCGAGATATTCAAGATTAACCTGATGCACAATACCAGAACCAGGAGGAACAACAAGCATATTATGAAAGCCAGTAGATCCCAACTTAAGGAAATAAAATCTTTCCTTGTTCCTCTGAAACTCAAGTTCCATGTTTTCTTGCACTGCATTTTCTGATCTGATTACATCAACTTGAACCAAATGGTCAATGACAAGATCTACAAGAACCAAAGGATTAATTTTGCTTGTATCACTGCCAAATTTGTGCATTGCGTCACGCATACGAGCAAGGTCAACCATAGTAGTCACTCCAATGAACTCCGCAGATTCAAGCAAGATTCTGATAGAGTATGGCAGTTTATCAATCCTTGGATCATTCAGGGCAGGCAAGCTGTAGAACCTTCCAAACTTGCCACCCCTGGCTTAGGAAGACTTGTCAACACTGCCTTAAAGGGATGTTCAGTAGCAGATTTTTGGCACTGTAGAAATTGATTCACATTTACCGTTGAAGGAGATCCGTCTAATTGTTTTGTTGCTGTTTGAGTTTTATTGTTGTCCACCCTCCATCCCGTATCATAATAAGGGGTGATTCTCTTTCTTAATGCATCTGAAATCTCCATTTGATTTTGGAGTTGCTGTGCAAATTCCAACATATTCCAATTTTTTGTTCTGTCCATGTAGAGGTTTAGCCCCTCGACATTGAACTCACATTTGATGAATTTATCAACACCACCTGTGAAAACTTGTCTTAACATTTTGTCATTACTGTCATGATCTGTCCAAAGCTGAAACGTTAGCTTCGACATTTTTTCAAACAGTTTATGCCCTCTATTGTGAAGTACCCTAATATCATTGGCTGTAAACTCATTGGTGGAATCACGATGTACTGGTTTAGATTTTAGGATTTCGGTTTCATTAGGCTTATATGAAAATCGGGATTCATTCATCCTGTCACTAACATAGGCTTCTTCTCATCAGTCTTAGAAGGTTAGGAATATTTACCTGTTCATTCTCTGACCTA